ACTGTCTGTGATTAATAGCCGAGGAAGGCTGCGAGTTGCGTAACAACACCACAGATACTGTTTCCACACAAGCAGCTATTAAGGAATGTCTTTGTGGAATTTCGACAAAGCTAATTTCATTGTGTCCGTTTAATGACGTGTATAAAAGTGTGCCCCCTTTGTTTCCGTAAAAGTCGTAACTAACGATGAGAATGATGTCACATGAGTCAACACGATATCGAAGGTAGCGTGGGGATCCCCCACCCGTCCACACCCTCTCTCAGAAATGCATGTTATTTTTCATGATTTTAGTAAAACGACGTAATATAAAAAAAATTCTTAAAAATCTTCGCTTCTGATCTCGAATTGTCGCATGTGACGCGTATTTTTGGAACTTAATTTGTGAACGCCCCAAAATAATTGATAAATATGAGATCCTGACAGAAAAGACCCCAGTGTGGTGCGTTATCATGAGATGGATCTTGGATTGTGTGAAGCTGTGGACAGATTCGGCAGATAAATCATCGGATTGCCGTGATAACGCTGTTAAGGGGTCTCTCTTGCATCTGGCTAACAGTTGACATGCCCTACGGTATTTCTCAAGAGTGTGTGTGTAGTTTATTGTTATCAATTTCTTAAGAAGAAAGAGTGGATACTACGAACATTCGACTGGACCAAACTTTGATGCAACGTTTAAATAAATGAGGAATTACTGCTTCAAAACAGTAGATTGGTAAGTTCCCTTCGAATTTAGTGTATTATCTTAGGGGGTATTTTTGGAAGTGACTCGGTTTGAATGCTCATTAGCCTATCTCATGAGAAAATTATCCATGACGTCTGGCAAGACAAAATTTTCCGTCCGGGCCATCTGTATCGTGTCTTTCGCATTCCCGAGTGACGGCGTAGTCAACCACCGACAAATTCTTCCGTACCGGACGTATGAATAGATTAGCCTTAGACCATAGCAGCAGACTTATGTTTTCGGAATGAACCGCTGTCGGTCCATTTTGTCAGATTTTTGAGCCCGCCCCCCATCTCTGGGGATTTTCGACATATGTCATCTGTTACGGTGTACCAGGAGGTGTTTATGCACAATGGACATCGCTCTTAAAGCGTCCAGCCATTTTAAGATTAACTTGTGTTTTCTTTGCGGTACGAACTGAATTTTTCAATGAAAATTTTAGTCGGGCTTTGGCTTGAAACAGAAACATCCGGATTGCGTGAAGGCAAAGGTTTCTGGACCCTGGGGCT